ATAGGCGCATAACCCTGAAATTATTGATTTTTGTACCTGTTCAAATTTTCTACTTTGCAATGTTATGGCCCTGAAGATGATTTGCCGAAAAGTATACTTTGCCTAACAAATTAACTTTTCAAATATATTTGAAGTTATAAGGGCAGTATAAATCAATAAATTGAATGCATACTACTTTAGCAGCAATTTTTGCCGAATATACTTTTTGTAAGCGATCACAAAGAAGCTCGTTAAAAAGCCAGTTCCCTGACGTGACTGAAATGACTTGAGAGTAGGCTGCAAGATAATCAGTATTACAACCCTACGTACTGCCGGTTTGCAGGTGATTATAAATCTTTCCTAAATTTCAGCATTTTGCATGAAATACCGACCGTAGTGTATATAGGAGCCCACCGCACAGCTGAGTTAAAGGGAGCACAACTTATAATAAGTTTATAAACTCTTTTGGCATAGAGTGTGTCTGTATGTCCAGTCAACTGGTTGCTCAAAGGGGTCAGCAACCAATAATCCAGACGTAATTAAAGTTTACAACTTTGAGCCTATACGTATAGTCCTTTGTAACGCTTTTCAGAAGCGCCACCTTTATTCGTCTTCTTAGTTTAGGCTTTGGCCGGCCCAAAACCCTCAAGAGCTTGTTTGCGTTATATGAACCAATTATTTGGAGATCATATTTTGATGTTAGAGAACACAAAGTAGATTGCTCCATATGCTAAGATCGTACAAAGAAGATATTAATTACAGTGGTTTGGAAACCGTTCAGCTTAGACAGCCAAAAATGCAGCTTTCCAATCGATCGATAGTCAAACAAGGGACTGCTTCTGTGCCCGTAGTAGAAACGAAAGGTATTAATTACGTCTTGGGTCTTAATAGCTTCAAAGTTTCAATATAAAACATCACTCACATATGGTGTTTAAGTTTCTCAGGACCTCAAGCCACCAATCATGACGTAAGCCTGCAATTTTCTCAAATAAGCAAACAAATAACTGCCCCTCTTAACCATTTTCTTGAAGCTTTGTCAAAAAAGCAAACAGCAAAATGATTTTTTCGAATGTGGATATAATCGTGCTTAAAAATAAGTCGAAGAGGTCGTTTGGGAATTAGAGCAGAGCCGAGTAGGCATCCGAATCTAACAGACTCAATCATATGTGTGCTTGCTTGTATATTTGAAAAATCCAAGAAGTTTTCGCAATCAAAAAAGGTTGCATCTGCTCCTGCTGAGCAAGGGGCTGAGTGTGCAAATGCATTCGTGCATATGCGCACTGTTCGTTTTCGTCTGAACTCTTTTTTATGGAATTTTCTCTCTACTCTCGCGGCTGTTGGGAGAGTGAGGCTTGGACATGGCAGAGACGGAGCTAGGCATTTGTGTCGTGCGCACGGTTGGCTCCATCGGGAGAGTGGATAGCGCGATGGGGTGCTGATGCCCAGTTATTATTCTGTTGCGGATTATCTATCTGATTGCTCCATTTGGACCTGCGGAAGTTTTCTTGTTCATCACCCGTTGCCCGCCCGATGGGCTTCTGGGCATTGTTAGTGCCATCACCCATCAAATCTTTTGTGGCGCCCATGTAACCTGTTACTGGTTGGCCAACCATACCAGCGCCGTTGCTGGGACTCTGATTGGGACCGATCTTAAAGACAATTGTGTATGGACTGTTCCTAATGTGCTCCCCTAAGTACATAATGTGTACTGTGTGTGGTATGATAGCAGTAATCGGAAAACTGAGGGCATATGATCCGTTCTTATTGTCCTGAAGGTATGCACGAACTTTCTGATATTGAGCATCGTCTTTTGTCACGGAGTAGGTGATAAAATTCTTCGCAGCTTCACAGTACTTTCTGGAAATTCGGAAGTCCAGGTGGAAAAGTTGGCCGAGTTTGATTTTTGGCAATTTACTTGGTAGAATTTCAGCACAGCTCAAGTCGGAAAGCCTTTCCATCGAGCCAATTTCAGCCTTCTGGACATTCTCAAAGTTCAGTTTGCCCACGAACTTGAGAGGTAGACATTCACCCAGGAAATCAGTTAGGCTATCGATGGCCTGGTTTACACTGAAGATGCAACCATGCACGTCAAATACCAGCTCCGAGTTTCCAAACTGTCCTGAATTCAGAATATGCGCTGACGTTTCACGTAAGTCTCGCAGTTTAGTCAGAAGTTCGTTGACTCGGCCAGTTTGATTGTGATATTCTGCCCCCGAGGATGAAGTGCTAGCTTGTAGCTCCTGCAAAACGGGTATTTATAAAGCCAAAACAGTATACCTGAATGAAGACGTGCTTCCATTTTTCTAATTGACGCATAATTGATAAAAAGTATTGATCCAGGTCCTTTATTGTCTCATCACAAGATCGGGCATATTCTGCAAAATCTTCATCCTTTCTGAGAAGCACCTCTTCGGTAGCCATTATTTTCTCGTCTGCTAAACGGATGACTTCCTCCAGGGCCTTTCGGGCGTACTGTTGTTCACTCATATTTGTATTTACGTCGCAGTTCAAGAAGGCCGGCCTCTACTGAAGAGCATACAAAAACAAGAAGAGAAATTTATCGAAAATGTCTGACTAATATAAGTGCTTAGTTCTATATTACAATAATATCTGGCATTTTGTAAAGTTCGCAAATAACGTAGGTTATAGACAATGGAAATTTCAACTTTGAACCACAGAATTCACACAGTGTGTTGTAATTTTAAGCTAGTACAGCCTTTTCTGCCACAGTTACGAGGCAATATAAATTTGCTGGTTGCAGACACCATGAGAATCTACTATAGTCTGAGCAAGTGTGTTATTTAAATTGCAAGATAACCCTCGTGTTAACAAAAGATTCATAACTATGGTATATATCGTGATCATATATACTAAAATTAAGCTGACAATATCAGGCTTTGTTAAATACGCGGCTCGATCAATATTTTCCCGGAATTCACTTATTTCTAAAGAGAAAAATACTTCTACATAATCTGATTATAAACCAGTCATTTCTACAATAATTAGACATTTTTAAAGAGATTTATATATTTTTTAATGTATCAGTGGAAGCTAACTAGGTTTGCTCGAGAGGTACTCAAGAATTTGGAGGGAATTTTATTTTGTCCGATGAAATCTCGATGGACGATACGAATTTATGCAAATATACGTTCGTCATTGAGTTTGTGACGAATGAGAAACCTGACAACCAGAAACTTCTTAAAAGTAAGTTTAGACATATACCTTGGATTTATTTTGTTTTGAAACAGTATATTATTAAAAGAATAACAATTTGAAAGCAAATTTTATGATTTCTAGTCTGCACAGTAACCCATCTCAGTCGTTTTCGTTGTGATTATTCTTGAGCAGCTCAAATGCATTAATCCTTGCTCTGTATGTGTACAAAGACGCGGTTAGCCACATAATCAAACTCATCGTATGACCTCAATAAATTTTGCTGAAAGTCTAAAGATCTGAAGTCCCGTTCTTTGCCGCCGGAAGTTGGGAATCTTTATAGCATGCAAGAGAATTAAGGAGGCATACGACGAAGCTTATAACTCACGCAACCTTGAATTCCTCATGACGCTTTTGAAAATTTTCCAAGAAGCTTTATTTAACTTTTCTATGAGCAGCTCAACGGAATTCCAAGGGGCTCCGTTATCTCCAGCGGAACTATCCCGCAAGAGTTAATAAAGGTTGCCTTCATCTAATATGAGCTTGTATTTTGGCCCTGTTAGGCTGACGAAATATTTGCTATCATCAGGAAAAACTGGCTGCAAAACTTCCATAAATTGCTGGACAGAATAGTATCGGATGTAAAATTTAAAAGGGAAGAAGAATAAGGGCAGCAGCTGCTTTTCCTTGATGTACTCATCAAGCAAACTTTAAACAGTGAAAATAAGGCGGTAGTTTACAGGAAGACAAAGAACACCACAAAAGTTTCAACTTTCATACCAGCCATCCGATGGCTCACAAACGAAGCTGTGTGAGAACACTCCTAAAACGGATTCAGGCTGATTGCTGCATGCCGGAGGAAGAATTATGCGAGGCCCGATATCTTTGTGATCAGTTTATGTTAAATAATTATCTAAAAGCTTTTATAAGCCATCATCTACAGGTTCGGCCCCAGAGGACCCAAACACTATCACCACCAAGCATATGGCCCGCTACGACATAAAATAAGGATGTCTCGAAAGCAACGGAGCGCATTGCTGTGAGATAACATGTTGGAATTGCCTACGAGCCAAAAACCACGACGTGCAGCAGGGGCATAAAAACCAAAGACCGATTAGGTCTCAAGGAGTATTTTTGGGACAACGTTTCGTATCCCATATCCCAACCGTCCTTTTCAATCCACCAGTCAGACTAAGCGCAGATTCGGATCGCGCATATATTAACATCAGCTGACTGTGTGACGGTGAAAAATTATCGCAAGTAGTTGTCCACTCCTACGAAAGGACCAAGAATTCCATTTCACAACCGTCAACACAATCACCCACACCGGAGGCAAGACGAACCAAGAAACGATTTAAGCCTGCACCTTGGATAGAAACTCAATAAATCGATGTATAAATCTTGTGCTAGCATTCAGAGCCCTGCACAGTCACCTACAGTTATGCGTCGTTAATAAATGATTGCCTCTAAAGGTGTAGATAAGACATCTAGCCATAAACTCCTATACGAGTTCAAAAGCTGAGAATAAGAAATAAATTGTTCCGTCGCTTGATTGGTCTTGTCCTTTACTCATAATACTTCGGTTAACTTTACTTTGGTTTAAGTCAATAAATTCGGGCTTACAGCTTCTTCCTAAATTACCAGTTTACCACGGAAGACGTATACGTTTTTAGGGTGAGTCAGGAAGAAGACCCAATTATAGAGGATTTGCTTACTTACTTGAATATTATCTGGTAATTTCAGTCTTGTCTTTAAGTGTCCTTATTTATTTTAAAAAAAACTCATGAAGACTGAAGAGACTAAAAACTAGTAAGACCAAGGTTCTTTTCGAATCGTTGTGCAAAATACCGCTGATGAATACGTTTTTCGGTCATACAAAGGCTCATACCCGAAACAATGAGCATTACAAAGTCTGTTGTGAAGCTTATAATTCTTGTGATTTTTACTTATAATGCCAGCCCACTATTTAGGTTTCAAGTTGCAAAATTGTATAACTGCGCACTTTATACGTAAAAAAATTCCCATTCTGTGTTAAAGCTCTTAAAATTGATGATACCAATGTCTCCTTGTGTCCTCACACAACTTTAAACTTTATTTGTTGCAGGTTTGCTGCTGGTGGGTTTAGCTACTTTGCAGGCAATTAGAAAAACAAATATGTAAACCTGCTTATTTTGCGTACCATTTTCGATTCAGTAGGTTTAACGGAAGCAACCATTGTGCTTAACTTAATGAGACGAACCTTCAACGGAAATTCAAAGAGACGTCTTTGATATGAGACATATTTTTTAGAATTCAATATGTCCCTTACCTGTAGCCTAAACCACATCAGTCTAACCTATACAATCCAAGTGTTTCCATCCCTACGCTGACGTAGCGCCGCTAAAAATCATCTGAAACCTACTAGCGAAAATAATAAGCATTGACTAATTTCAACTAACTCGCGCATATCATACGTCAAGGATCTATACAACGGAAAGCACAAAGTGTGTCTTTTTATGGCAGAAAAGTTAAAATTTGTTGTTTTTGTCCTTTCTGTTGATAAACTTCCAAACCGCATGTATGTTCGGTACACGTATTGGAAGTGCGTGTTCATATGAAATTACTTTATGCCTTGTAGATATTTTCGTGAGTGCTGTTATGTTGAGTGTCCACGGTAGTACTTTTAGCGTAGTACTTCGTTAGTGAAAAAGTAAGATATAAAATTCTAGTTTTAAGCTGCGAACCGAGCAGTAGAAATGTTCTAGTGATTTGCTTCAGAAAGCTCACAGCAGTTAAAATACCAGCAATGAAGTGCTGTCCTTTAACAATTTTCTGTAAGCAAAAAGGAGGTACGACCAGAAGGAAGTAATCGACCAAACTTAGTTCCCAACTAAGCGCTTTCTTGAATAAAGTTTCTCAGAGTACATTGCGCAACACATGATATCCCATTCCCGGTTCAAATTGAGCTTATAGCGTTCTCAGTATTAAATTTACCACTTGTTCAGAATACAAGCATATGGTAACCAGAAAAGAGCCTAATTTTTAAAGGGATAACGTGAAGTAGCTGGAGAAGCCTTTCAATCGCACTCATCTTAAAACATTCAAAAAACGGGTTGCTTGTTCGGGATACAAAAGCCATTTGCAGTTTAAATACATTTATGAGAAGAGTAAATATAATGTCGTCTATTGAAAAGTAACGATAACCATAACTTATAAGTCCTAATCAATACAATAAAAAGCAATGCTAACTATTAACAATTAGATAAACCATGCACTTATGGGCAATTTTCGATCCCCCATCATATAGTAATGTTTTGACGCTCCTAGAACTACAATCAATTGGATTTACAATTTTTGGGGTGCTTTGGAGTTTTTTGAGAGAGATGTTCTTTTAGAGTGATTTATTTTTCTTGCTTATATCAACAAAATTGTGACGAATAGTTTCTCAAAACTCTCTAGAGCTGAGTAACTGAAATCAAGTTTATTTTGATTCGGAATCATACCTTAAATTACCGCACTAAACCAGTTGGATTTTATGATAGACTCGTGCACAGTGGCCTTCTAAGCATTTCTGCTTACGCCGCATACGCGGCAGTCGGCTTTTTTGCTTTTTTTCAAAATTTTCCGAGTTCCTTCCTGCCCCTCAGTGTTTCCGCAGCTTCATCGCAATAACTATGGTTACGGTTCTGTTGTCTAATGTTGTTAATTGGTATTTTTAATTCAGATGAACATTTTGAATTGCGTGAGCTTTCTAACCTTCACTCACACAAAGTGGATGCGAATGAAGTAAAATAATCTAAATGGTTTTATATGACGGTGCTAGGCTGCTGCGGCTGCAGAAATAAAGAGATAAATGCGGTGGTTGTGTTTCTATAAAGGTGGTACTTTTTTCTTTCAGAACTCAAAAAATCTTTGGATTAAAAAATCATAACTCTTCACTGCTATTTTAAACAATGGCAGAAAAATTAGATCGTTTTTTTTAATAAGAATGTTTTCCATTAAACAATGATTCTTGCTTATCGCGTTAAAAGACTTGCGAAAATCCCCACTTATAGTCCTTCGCAGATTCAGAAGGCAGCGGAGCTCTGCCAGCTATCATCCTTATTGCAAAATATCAACGAATTACAACGAATTTAGCACGAATCAACGAGATATTCCTACGCATTTCGCACACGAAGTAATGCTTAGGTACACGGATGTTCTGACATCTCCAATCGTAATAACGCCCGTACCTAAACCTGGAATTTATTGTTCAAAAATTTGCCCGAAGGAATTTTTGATAAAATTTGTCAACTAACGACACAGCAAGACTCGAATTACGGTGTTATATGAATGCGATATCCAAGTGCACAGTC